CGGGGCTCCCGGCGCAAACCTGTCCGACAGGCTGGGCCGCCCCGGCCCCCGCCCCCCACCTGGACGCGGCCGCCGGTGCCAGTCCGCCCGCCCGTCGTCAGAACAAGCGCACCTCGCCTCCTGCGTGTCCCTGCAGAGCCCGGGTAATTAGACAACCCCGAGCCGCTCGGAAACCCTTGTCCCCGCCCGGCGCTCGCCCACCGCGGCCAAAGTTGCCCGAGCGGCCCAGGCTCGGTCTCTGCGCTCCCTGTATTTTCCCGCTGTCTCTGGCCTCGCTCGCACACACCCACACCCACGCGCCCCGACCGGGACCCTCCGTTCCCCGGGGTAAGCGCCGCGCTTTACGGGCCCCGTGCGCGCCCCCGGCGCGGAGGCACCGACGCTGGGACCAGAGCAGCTCGCCCTGGGAGGCCGCGCTAAGTTTCCACAGAGCTGCTCGAGAGTCCCCCACACGGTCCGGAAAACAAAGCGACCGGTCTAGGGAAGGTCCCCACAGCCGGCAGCGCACACGACAAGAATCCCCAGAGAAGCGCCAGTCCCGGTGGGTTGTCACCCAGCCCCAGAGGGGGAGGGTCGAAAGGGGAGGATCCGAAAAGGTAGAGAGCCTTAAAAGTCCGCGGAAGGAGAGCGAGAAGGGGGCGCGGGACAGCGTGCACTTAAACCCCAGTTCTGCTCTCAAGCGCAGGCGAGTCCCCGCCTTGCCACCTCCATCCCCGCGCGCCAAAGCCAGAAAGAAAGAAAAGACAAGACATAGCAAAAGCCAGAGCCACCTATTTATTTAGGTAATCACCGTGCACCCCCACCCCGTGACTCACCCCTCATTTCAGCAGGGCTGTGACTGCCTCTGGAGCCCCAGCGGCCTTTCCCAGGCCTCCCGCCGCCCTGGCCCTGGCTTCTCCAGGGTGCAGCTCTCCACCAGCTGGGTTTGGAAACTGGCTCCCGGCTGCGCGCTTTACCGGCCTGGCCTGGCGGAGCCGCCCCCCACACAACGCAGCCCGGTTGGGCTGCCCTCGGCGGGGAAACCCGGCTGGGGACTCGGAGGCTGTCTGCGGGAGGCACCCTCCGCCCCCTGGGCTCCCCCAAGTTGCTGGGGGGAGAAGTTGCTCAGAACTTGTGGAATAACAAGCGGGTCCCGCAGCCAGCCCCTCAGCAGTGGGGACTGCGCTGCCAGACCGGGATGGGAGGTGCCCTCAGAGCTAGATGGGGGCCTCCTGCAAACAGAAAGCACCTCTCTCTTCAGCCTGGGTGTGGGGAGCACAGAAAGCGAGACAGAGCTGGGATAAAGAGGAGGAGGGAGGTTCAAGCCAGAGGGGAAGTTGAGAAGAGAAGCGTTTTTTCTCTTTCCTTTCTCTTCCCGGTGACATGTGCCGGACCTCGCAGACCAGAAAGGAGAGTGCACCGGCAGGGCCCACTTGCCGCCACTGCTTCCACCCCCCAGCTCGTGTCTTCGCCCCACTCTCAGGCATAGCCAAATCGGTGAGGAAAGGAGGGAACGTGGGACACGGGCTCCAGAGGAGCGAAAAAGAGGGGCGCGTCCGTGCCCTCCCGTCCGGCTTCTCTCCTGGTCCTTCAGCCGCGGAGAGGCAGGCGGCGCCGGCGAACTTTGTGCCACTCGCACCTCGCAGCTGGCTGGCAGCCGAGGGGCGGTAGCTGCGCTACCAGGCCGAACCTGGACCCTGTCGAGCGGGCGCCGCGCTTACCTCGCAGTCCTCGTACTTGATATTATCCGTCAGTTTCCAGAGCATTTTCATGGATCGGCGTGAGCGGACTTGCCCTCTGCCTCGCACCAGAGCGGAGCTACCCTCTCTGGGTAAGCGCAAAGTGCCGGCTGCCGGCGCGGGCAGGGGAGGAGGAGGGCGAGGAGGAGGAGGAGGAGGAGGGCGAGGAGGAGGGCGAGGAGGAGGAGGGTGAGGAGGAGGAGGGTGAGGAGGAGGAGGAGGAGGGTGAGGAGGAGGCGAGAAGGCAAGCCCTCCCGTGTACGCTCGGAGATCTCCCTCTAATGGCAGAAACTTTTCCCTTTTCCAGCTCTTTACCAACAGCCTAATCGCCTCATTAGCATATCAACAATAGCCCAATTGCTCGCCAGCACCACAATCTGCCGCCGGCCTCGCCGACCCAGGTATAAAGGCCTTCGGAGCCGCCAACTCGCTCCCAGAGCGCGAGCCAGCCCGTAAGCCCACAAGACGCCCAGGCGGCGCGCTCCCGTCCCGGCGCCCCTGCCGAGTGCCCCCGCTCCCCTTCTCCGTCTCCTCGGCGGCCGAGACCCCCTCGCAGGGCCCGGCCCGCGAATGGTGCGCACGGCCCTTCTCCGGCTCTCGACGCCCCTTGGACACCCACGTCGCCACGCACGGCGCCACTGTCGGCCTCGTCCAATTTCATTAGAAATGATCCCTTTCGCAATTAAGTGTCACCACCAGCCCGAGAGCAGCGAAGTCGCTCCAAGATCCCTACTCCACAACAGATCACCTCTGCCGGGACCACCTCAGGCCCAGCGCCTTGGGAATTTTATGGAGTTTGCCTCCAACCCCCCCTCAGTTGGAGATTTTGCTAAACAGCTCCGGGTTTGCGATCCTTTCATTGCCGCGCGTAAAATAAAAATTGTACCCTGAAGAGAGGAGCCCGACAGCTCCAGGGGCTTTTCCCTGCTTGGAGCGGGCTGGGGCCTGGCGAGGTGCGTGCTGGACCAGACAGGGGCCGTGGAGACGCAGCTGCTCGCGCGAGCAGCTTGCACTGGCAGATACTGTCACACGTGCATCCAAATAAATCGCTGGAACCCGCTTTGCTGTGCTAATAATCCGCTCCGTTTTTCCAAGACCCCCCTTTTTAATTAAAACAGGGACAGGACCTTCATAATTTGGTGATATTATTGAAGGGGTGCGGGCCCCAGCAGTGCTCGGCCCGTGGGACCGCAGGGGCCACCCTCCTCCTGCAGGTCTGGGCTCTCACCCCTCTGGGACTGTGCCCCTTTTTCTCTTGTTTCAGTGTATTTTTTAAGTAAGAAAGAAAAGAGAAAAGCACAATGTGATCCTCCCAAATAGAACGAATCTGTTTCTCTGGCTGAACTTTGTCATTTTGTCCATTAAAAAAAGTTTCTGTCTTTCTTCCTCTTGAACACCCAACTCCCCAGCTGGGGTGGGTCCCCTCAGGGTCCCTTCATTCAGCCCTCCTGAGCCCCAGATCTGTACCGGCCACCCCCCATTTTCCATGGGGTGCCAGTCCCTGGGCAAGGGAGAGGCAGTTCCAGATCCCAGCACCCCTAACAGGTGGAGCAAGCCCGGGTGTGCTGTCCCCCAAGATGCGGAAGGGTCCTGTCTCGCCCAGGCCTGGGACAGTAGGCCAAGGCCTCCCCCAGAAGCGCTTGACGGAGACCAGGGAAGCGAGCAGGTGGTTTCAGGAGGAGGGCGGCCCTCCCAGCGCCCCGGGCTCCCACCTCGCCTTCCCCACCAGGACACAGCACCGTCCTGGGCAAGGGAAGCCTGGCACTGGCTCTGGCGACAGCGCACCCCACCCAGGAAAGGGTCCGCTTCCGGCAGCACCATACCCCACAGGGCTGCCACCAACCCAGCAGCTGGAGGCAGGAGGTTGCGACCAGAGCACCCGCAGCAAGGAGAGCGGGAGAGCAGGCCGACGGAGGCCTGGAGCCAGGCTGCCAGCCCCCAGGCATCACGAGGGCGCTGGGGACCGGAGTTCGGAGTTCGGAGTTTCGCTTTCTTTCTGCTTGTGGGATGAGCGAGGTGTATGGGTCTTTATCCTCTCTGCCCAGCCCCTCAGACCCAGGGGCGGTTGCGCCGCCTGCCTGCCGGGGTAGTGTCCCTTGGGGTAGCTGGAGGGGACTTGGGGCTTCTTGGTGCTAAGCAAGGACGGATCCCCACAGAGCCTCCCAGCGGTGCCGTGAGAGTGTCATTAGGGAACAAGTCGCTTTGCTGCCACCTCCGCCACTGGGCTCTGGGGGGACAGCAGCCTGGAGCTAGGAGTTGGGGTGTGTAGGCCTGACCAGGGGCCTAGGGGTGAGGGAGTGAACGAGGCTACTTGCAAGACACAGAGACAACCAGGGAGACGAAGAGACACCGAGGAGGAGCCGGGAGACACCGAGGAGGAGCCGGAAGACTCCATGCTCCTGCTTGTTTTCATCCTGCGACCCAGGCGCCCCGGGCAAAGCCGGGAGGGATCCACCTCACCCAGCCCCAGAGCTTCAGCCCCACCGATGGCCAGGCTTAGCAGCTCACCAAAGCCTGAGCCGAGCCCACAGGCAGCAGGCCCAGTGCCCTCACTGCCCCAGCCTCAAAGGGCCCCGACCCCAGGCCCAGGCCCAGTCTGGCTGCCCGGCCTCACTCCGGGAACTGTGCAGCAAAGTTCTCCCAACCGAATTCCCCACTAGAGTCCCTCCATCGCCCTCTGGATAAAACGAAGGCACACCCCGAAGCCCACGGGCTAGGGAGGGCCGGAAGGGCTGGTGTTTGGTGTGGGATTTGTAGCCCCAGACCACACCTTTCGTACAACTGTGTGGAGGGAGTTGCATTCGGGTCTTACAGGGGCCAGAGATAAAGAGCTCCCGGTTAATAATAAGAAATGACAAGAAAAGAAAATGGCTGAGCACCTCCTTCCCCACCCCAGGGCTGGCGGAGAGGGGTCTCAGACTTCTTCTGGCAGCTCCGTTTGAATAGAGTTGGGGCTTAGGCCTGGGGAGCAGACCATCCTGCTGGCCAGGCCCGAGGGGCTGGATGGAAAATGCCCCCCACTCTGCCACAAACAAACCAGCCACTGAGGCTGTGACCCCCCTACCAACCCGGCAGGAGGACTGCCCTCCTTCCTTTAGGAAAACGTGTGGGACTTGAAAGAAGTGGGAGACAATCTCCCCCAGGGTTGCCGGCCCAGTACTGGCTCAGGGACCGGGGATCTGGGGCCCAATGGGCCCACGGGTGTCTGCGGCCTACCAGCGCCCAGCCTGGCAGGCACAGGTTTCTGGACCTGTGTCTCATCACCCACCACACTTCTCCCCCATCCCCCACCCAAGAAGGGAGGAGCGCCTTCAGGAAGCCCACTGAGTGAGAAGCTAAACTTTGTGCAAAGTCTTTTAAGTAATTCCCCAAAGAACATTCTCCTCGCAGAACTGGCCATTCGGCGCAGAACTGGCCATTCGGTGCCCCTTTGTGCCCCAAACTCCCTGGATCCCCCAAACCTGGGACACAAAGACAGGTGCGCCAGATCCCACCACACCGCACAGCCCTGGGGTCTCCGATGGGGCCGCTGCAGCCTAGCGAGCCGGTGCCGGCACACCGCACCCCTTCCCCGTGTGCTCCCCCACCCGAATTAGTCATCCACCCCCGTTTCTGTCCCGGTGGGGGGAGGGCGGCGGTAGCACAAACCACAAGTTGGGCCCCCCCACCCCGGGCCACCTGTGGAGCTTGTACCGGACAGTCCCCAGCGCCCGTCCCGCCCGTGGCCCGGATGGCCCCCGCGGCCAGACGGCCTCTGCCGTCTTTCTCCTAGGGGGACACCCCTGGGCGCGGAGGGCGGCCTCGCTACGGCTCTCCAGCTCCGGGCCGCGCTCTTTCTCCGCCTGCCCCCTCTCGGCCCCCTCCCCCGCTCCACCCCCGCCCACCTCAGCCCAGCGGGGCAACCCCCCTACCTGCCAGTCCCCCATCTTGGCAAGTATGGACATCGTGGCTCGGCGCTCCTGGCGACAGGTCCCCGCCGGGCATGGGTCGCAGGGCTCGGCCGGCCCGCTCCCTGGAATCGCTCAGGCAAATCCTCCTTTTTTACCTGCTCACCAACATCTCACCTGGTCATAAAGAGCTGGGTTGCTACCTGCCGACGCATGCGCGCTAGCCCAGGAATTCACTCCGCCAGCCCTAGTCCCAGCGCCTCGCGCAGCTGACCTGGGAAGTGATGGATTTATAGCCGCGGCAATCTCGCCATCAGCGCCGGCTTTTCCCAACAGCCCCAACCCGCTTTCCCGGTCAGCCCCAGACCCGGGGACCCAGGCACACGGCCTGGCCGGGGCGCGGGGCGCGACGCGGGTGTGAGTGGGTGTGTTTTGGCACTCGGGCAGTGGGGGCCTCCGCGCGCACTTCCCAGCCCCCCCACCCCCACCAACTTTGAGGCTGGGAGCCGCTCCCCCAGGTGGGGTGGGGGTAGGGCAGCGCCCGGGACGCGGCCGGCGGCCCTCCACCGGGGTGCGCTCGGTGGGGCCCCGCCCCGCCCCGCCCCCCACGGCCCGCGGATCCGGGTCTTCACCCCCCCACCCGCCCCCCGGGCTGCAGGGGCCTCGGATCGACATCAAAGTGTGGTTCAGTAGCCGCAGCCTTCGCGATTCTGTTTCATTTTGGCTTCTCGGTTGAGTCTCCTCCCACCGCAGGGAGCCCCAAACCGCTCATCCTTCTCCTCCCCTCCCCCACCCGGGTGGCGCCCCACTCTTTACCTCCTCCACGAAAAAACTTTTTCTAGGCGAATGGGGGTGTTGGGGCTTGGGTTGGGGTTTGCTTTCCCATGACAGATAAAATCGCTCAAGTGATTTCACCGCTGCTTCTAATTAGAAGGCAGCTTTAAAGGAAGCCACAGGATTTGGGGCTCGGAGGAGCACACCTCCTTCGGGAACCACACCTGGCTTGGAGGGAGAGAGGCGAGGTGGGGCGCCCCGCCCCGGGCCCCGCCGGCCCCCTTCCAGCCGCCTGGAGACCCGCCTGCCGGGGCTGGGCCTGGCGCCGGGCCCGCCCAGAGACCCCCGGGCTGCGGTCTCGGGGCTGCGAGGTGCACAAAAAACCGGTTTCCAAT